GCTTCCTTGTCCAGTCTGGAGAAAGCAGAACTAACGGCGCTGGTGTTGATGCCGATGATATCAATATCATCGACATACGCCAGCAGCTGTACACTCTATTTTCGTGCTATCGAAAGCAGTTTTGAAATCGACGAAGAGGTGGTGAGTGTCGATTCTCCTTTCACGGGTCTTTTCCAAGATTTGGCGCATGGTGAATATCTGGTCTGAAGCCACACTGATAAGGTCCAATCAGTTTGTTGACGGTGGGCTTTAATCTTTCACACAATACACTCGATATAACCTTACATGCAATGTTGAGGATGCTTATTCCGCGGTAGTTGGCGCAGATTGTGGGGTCTTTGAGGATTGGGCATAGCACACTTAAATTCCAATTGTTGGGCATGCTTTCGTCCGACCATATTTTATAAAGAAGCTGATGCATGCTCCTTATCAATTCTTCGCCGCCGTGTTTGAATAGCTCGGCCGACAATCCATTTGCGTTTTCATTAGAGGTGTTTTTTTACGTGGCGGGTCCCAAACCCAGCGCATCATATTATTATTTTCATTAGAAAATTACTAAAAAACATTTATTGATTGAGAGCTAAAACTCTTCAATCCTTTCAAAAGCCAGTTGTTTTAATATACCAGAAAACGATTTAAATAGTTTCTCTATATATTAATTACCAACTATATAGTAATTTTTATTCGCACTAAATGTTGGGTGTTTTAATTTAAATGCCCAAAAATTATGGTTTTTCCAATCTGTCCATTATAAAAAACGCTAATTTTGAAGCACTCTCACTCTGGAATAAGTTGGACATCCCTTTATCCCTGGATAGCTCTCTTAAACGCAGGGTTATCAGTCGCGACATTTTGTATAAAAAAAAAAAACATAATAATTTTGAATTTTGTTATCTACATATTTTTTGTATTGAAAAACTATGAACAGTGAAATATTTACAATGACATTTAGCAGTATTAAATGGAATAGTAAATATAAATGAATTGTAATTAAATATAATTATAAGAGCGGGTTCTCTAAATATTATATTATGCTAAGCATTCAAAAGTAATTCGTACAGAACCAACGAAGCGCAGAAAACAAAGCGTGAGCCACAATAAACACTAGCTGATTCTCTTGCTCTTGCAACGTTGCAGAATGCAAAAATCCTATATCGAAATATAGTATGTACAATGCCAAGAGAGCAGTTATTGCAGAATCTAGTGATACACTGCTCGTCAATAGGGTAGAGGCATGTTTACTTTTATTACAATTGTTTAAATGTTTATTATTTTAATGATGATTGATAAAAAAGTTGAAATGCAAAAACATGGATAAATACATGATAATTTAAATATAATATTCAAATATTTTTTCAAACTTAACAAAATTGTGTTTTTCAAACATTTTCTTAAATCTACTCAAAAAAATGTACTTTTTTCTTGATCATTAGAATAGACGCACTTAAGCTTTTAAAGATTTTATAAGAAAATAATTTTTTTGAACTTAAATTTTTAGTTCGTATAACTATTTGATTTATTAGAAATAAAAAATAATAATGTCAGTAATGAATACTTCCTCCTTTGTTAATAATAACTTCATATATTCGGTCATTCACCGAATGATACAGGGAATCTATGTAGCTCAAGGAAATCTTCCTCCAAGCATCTTTAATAGCTGCATTTAATGTTTACTTATTTCCGTATTGCTTTCCTCCTTCGTATACCTTCCGTGTTAGCCAGCCCCAAACATTTTCAATTATGTTAAGATCTGGAGAATATGGTGGCCAGGTCATGACATTAACGTTTTGACTCGAAATAAACGACACATAGAGAGCGACACGACATGAGAGCACGACAGTGAACTGTAAATGGTGTCGTGACTCCTTCTACATGAACATTTGTAAGAAGGCAGCGACATAACAATGGACAACATGACCAAGACAACGCAGCTGTCCATTTTGCATGTACACAATTTCGCTGTGGCCATACTAATAATTTTCACCTCAACGAAATTTTAATATTTTATTCGAAGTGAAATTTTTTATGCAAAAAATAAGTAAATAGGTAAATTTATTTGTGTTTTTATTTGTTTTTATTTGTAAAATAGCGTCAGGTTTGTTAGAGCTTTGATTAATTTTACATTTTACATATTGGTGGCATCACTCCTCTGTACTGTCAACTCTTCTGTCGTCCTGCTGTCAATTTCAAATTTAAGAATATTTTCTAGTGTTCAGCACTTGGCACTTCTATCAGAGATAAAGAGATGTCCAACTCCTCTCTCACTCGAAGTGGGAGAGCAATTACTAAACGTCAAAACCTACTGAACATTGACAGCTAATCGAGTTCAGTAGGTTTTATGTTTATCAATTGGAAACGAGCGATGGTCATATTGAAATCTTATCAAAAAATATATAAACGGAGGGATTTGTTGTATCGCTCAAGACCAATTATGAAAAATGTAAAACAACGAAAATTAAATAAAATTGTGAAATTTAAAATTATTTGATGAAACGTTTTGTAATTTGAAGCGTCATAGTATTATTTTAAATGGAAAATTATTAAAAACTTTTAATGATTGAGAGCTAACAAGCTTAAACCCTTTTATTGGGTATTGAAAGGTCAGATGTCAGTTGCTCTAACATACCTTAAATAGATTTAAATAGTTTCTTCATATAATAAATAACCACTATATAGTAATTTTTATTCGTACTAAATGTTGGATGTTTCAATTTTCGATCCGAACATAACGGAACATTTTATTTAAAAAAAAACGCTTATTGATGTGTTGAACACAATGCTCGCGACAGACTGCAGCAGCACGACAGTGAACTGAAAATGGCGCTGGGAATCCTACTACATGAACGTTTGTGAGAGGGCAGCAACATAACAATGACTAGCTTGTACACAAAACAACGCAGTTGTCCATTTTGCATGTACCCAATTTCGTTGTGGCCATACTAATACCTTGCACTTCAATGACATTTTTATATTTTGTTCAAAGTGAAATTTTTATGCAAAAAATAAGTATATAGGTATATATTTTTGCTTTAAATTATCAATTGTTATTAATAATGATGTAACAGAGCTATTTTATGCTTTTATTTGTAAAAAAAAACGTCAAGTTTGTTAGAGCTGTGAAAAATTTTACATTTTACATATTAGTGGCATCACCAGCCTACCTCATCTCTCTACCTTCCATTCTACTGTCGTCCTACTGTCGTTGGCAAATATAGGATTAAATTGAAGTTAGCGAGAACGACAACTGTCGGCCTGCAGTCGTGTAGTCGTGCAGCTGGCAAAATAGGTCTGTCCATAAGAACGTCTGTATATTAATATTTGACAGATGGCGTTTGCAGTCTGTCGCGAGCATTGTGTTCAACACTTGAGAGGCGCCCTCACACTGGAATAAGTTGGGCATCCCATTATAACCGACTTGCATAAATAAACTGTGCGACAACACAGAGGTTTGAAATATTCGATTTTGACATGCATTCTTAAAAATTTCTTGACGCGCAATGTTTAATGCTTGTACAAATGAATGAAAGTATTATTAATAAAATAATTCGTTTTGGAATTATTTTTTCGTATTAGAATTTACGTGAGAATTTGACATTAATTTGCCGCTTTATTTAGGGATGCCGCAACGGCGAGAACGTGTCGCTTGAAGCTTTTGTTTAGTTATGCTGGTTATTTAGAGTATCATTTCTGTATTGAATGAAATAAATAATAAAGAATTAATAACATATATGTTTTAACGTATACTTGCTGTTGTATACAGCGGTTCTTTTTAATTCGTTTATTTCTAAATGCATATCTGTATTCATATTTGTAAGTTATTAAAATTTTATTTACCTCAAGAACTAGGTAAAATTATAACATCCGGATTCACTACAAAAAACGTAAAAATTTCACCTTTATCTGTTTGCAACAATGTCAAATTTACTCCCTTACCATTAACTAAGAGAGTTCTCTTTTATACATATGTATATGCTAGAGATGAGCGATATTGCGATTTTTCAATATCTGCGATTTCAGTGGTTGCTATTTTTAAATCACTGTGATTTTATATTACTATTGCATTTGCAACTAAGTCGACTTTCAAATGGAGACCTGTCGTGGAAACGACGGAATCGTTTTGTCGTTATTGGCGGCAAATTCCCTTTTGGGTCCTGTAACTCGAGTCAAGTTTTTCCGCCTTTCTTTTCATTACATTTTAGCAAATGTTGGAGCGGTTCGGCTGTCTCGAAGTTCCTGACTTATCAATCTATTGTAGCTTCCGAGTTAGAGGGGGTTTGAATTACAATAGTTGTAAAACAAAAGTTAATAACTTTATATTAAAAAATGTTAAATTATTACATATATACCTTTTGCGCTGGTAGTTCACTGTAGGATATCTACTCTGTTTTTTTTAATTTCTTAAAGATGTTTTATGTGAAATTTTTGATTTGCAGATATTGCATTTTGCATATATTTCGTCTACCACTTCAAACATCTGCCATACTTCACTTCTTTTCCTTGCTACATTTCCAGCCGTTATTAAAAATTATAAGAACGTTAAACTCAAAACTTCAAACCGCTATGACGAAAAATAGCATATACGCATATGTAGGTATATACAATACCCTGAAGAAAGCTGCTACTTTCTGCTATTTGCTATTATGATCGCATGTACTGTGCTATTAAAAAGCCACAGTTTCACAAGCTTACTCTGATCTGCTATCGCAATCGTAATCGCAATTCACAAAATCAAACTGTTATCGCAATACACAGGTTCGGACTGCTATCGCAAATCACAGTTTCGAACTGCTATGGCAATTCACAGGTTCGAACTGCTATCGCAAATCACAAATTCCAACAGCGATCGCAATTCACAGTTTCGAACTGCTATCGAAAATCACAGGTTCGAACTGCTATTTATAAAATGTGATCGCAGTTGCGATATGCGATTTTTCAATCACAGTGAAAAAATCACCGATAGTGAAATATCGCTCATCACTAATATATGCTTGACTAAAAAGTTTTTTTTTTTTTAATTTTGTTGAATAATTCATTAAATAAGATAAATAAACACAATTACTTAGCTATTTTTTTTTATATGCTGTCAAACAGCAAAATAACTTGAAAGACATTAAAACCATTTTTTACGGATCCTCCAACATCGCAAAATATAGGTCTTCTTTAATTCTCTAATTATTTGTAATGTAAAAATACTTCCATTTTACTAAACTAAAGCTGGCCAAAACGAAAACATTCTTAGTAATATTCCCATTTTTAGTGTCTGTAGTTCATATAGATAAATGAGTAAATAATTCCGCCTGGCAATGCTTTCGTATTTCAGTCAATATTTTCATTTTTATTCCGACCACAAGTATTTTATCGGAAAGTCTCTTATTTCGACGTATTAAGAAATTGTAGGAAAATACACAAACTTTACTATTTGATGGTGATATTTTTAAATTGTGGAACAATGAAATAAGGTCAAAAAAGTGTAAATAATTAGAAAACTGGTTCAACCGCTAGCGTTATATCCAATCTTAGAAGTTCTGTGAAGTAGGTATAGTTGATTATGCTTTGTTTTCTTTGATTTTGATGCAAACGTGTGTGATCAGGGCTATTGAAAACTATAAGTATTGAATGCCATGAAAGTAATATTTGAACATACATGTTTTCTTCCGAAGTCGAACATACTCGTGTGATTTAAATCATATGTATTCTTTGCAATGGTATTAACGTGATATTGTATACATTATTCACATTAAATAAGGCGTTCAATATAAAACACCAATTTCTGTATTTGAATTTAAATTATTGGCCAAAAGTAAAAAACAAAAATATTGGTAACTATTGAGTAACAGATTAGGAGAAATGTCTGAGGTCACTAAGTAATATTTTCGGGCTACGGAACATAAATATCTTGATCAATCCTAAGTCTCTTTTGAATAGTTTTTTTATTATAAAATGCCAAGGTTTATTTTCATTGCACTCTCAATCCCAGCGAAAACAGTAATACGGGTTATATATTGGACACGCTTATATTGCTCCGAACAGATAATGAATTTACCATTAAATATTTTCATGGTCTATTTATTTGTTTCATTTTCATTATATAATTTATTTTGAAATATGTGAGTCTGAATTTTGAATATTATAATTTTGGCCCTGCTAAACTGTAACATACTATATGACTTTGTTGCTATTACCCGAATATGTCTATATATATTTATATTTTTATATGCTATTTTTAAGGTTCTCTTAAACATTTAATTTTACAACATTGAGCTAATTGTTGTGTGTATAAAAGATCCTATCATTATGAGTGCGGACGGTTCTTCCATACGCTTCAGCGACCACACATTGGATAAAGCAACAAAAGCTAAAGTAACATTGGAAAATTATTACAGCAACTTAGTAACTCAATACGGAGAACGCAAACAACGCCTAGCTAAATTAGAGGCTCAGCTAAAGGACGAAAGTCTAACGGAATCTCAAAGACAGGAGAAAAGGTTACAACATGCCCAAAAAGAAACAGAATTTTTACGTCTGAAAAGACTGCGGTTAGGAGTTGAGGATTTCGAAGCATTGAAAGTTATTGGAAGAGGAGCGTTTGGGGAAGTGCGACTAGTACAGAAGAAAGACACAGGGCATGTATATGCTATGAAAGTGCTGCGTAAAGCTGATATGCTTGAAAAGGAGCAAGTGGCTCATGTCCGCGCCGAACGCGATGTTCTTGTTGAAGCAGACCACCAATGGGTAGTTAAAATGTACTACAGTTTTCAGGTGAGATTTAATATCTTAAATAAATAGAAAATATCGCTAACGCAGCACATAGTCGAAAGATTTAAAATTCATATGTATGTATGTTAAATTTCGACTATAAGCAATAAGATTAACGAAGCTCAATTTTTAAAGAAAATAAATTCGTATTTTGACTAAAGGAAAACTATTGATGATTGAAAAGATATTTTTGATATTTTTTTTCATTACACCAAAAAGGATCCCGTGAATTTGTATTTAATTATGGAGTTCTTACCGGGCGGAGATATGATGACCCTCCTAATGAAAAAAGATACTCTTTCAGAAGAATGCACGCAATTCTACATTAGTGAAACAGCATTAGCAATTGACTCAATACATAAATTGGGATTTATTCATAGAGATATAAAGCCGGATAATTTGCTTCTCGATGCACGTGGACACTTAAAGGTTCGTTAAGTATTAAACATGTTTGCTTTGAACTTTACAAAGTTTAACACTAATGCAGCTTTCTGATTTCGGACTGTGTACGGGATTGAAAAAATCACATCGCACCGACTTTTACCGGGACCTTTCACAAGCTAAACCATCCGATTTTATTGGAACATGCGCCAGGTAATTTTATTTTATTGTCATCTTTTTGGTTATTGATATTTGATTTTTACTGAAATTTGAAATTTTAGTCCAATGGATTCAAAAAGGAGAGCAGAATCATGGAAACGGAATCGTAGAGCTTTGGCATACAGCACTGTTGGTACACCTGACTACATCGCTCCTGAAGTATTCTTACAGACTGGTTACGGACCGGCTTGTGACTGGTGGTCGTTAGGAGTAATAATGTATGAAATGCTAATGGGTTATCCACCATTTTGCTCTGATAATCCCCAAGATACATATCGCAAAGTGATGAACTGGCGGGAAACGTTAATATTTCCACCGGAAATACCAATATCCGAGGAAGCAAAAGATACCATTGTCAAATTCTGCTGCGAAGCTGACCGCCGTCTAGGCTCACAGCGTGGTCTTGATGACTTAAAATCTGTATCGTTTTTCAGAGGAGTTGATTGGGAACATATTAGAGAGCGTCCTGCAGCTATACCTGTTGATGTGCGCTCTATCGACGATACGTCCAATTTCGACGAATTCCCTGATGTTTCACTCGAAATACGTAGGTTTAATATTTGTTTACCCGCATATTCTGTCAGCATTAACAAATCACATTACATATTTACAGCATCTGCCCCTATACCTCAAGGCAGCGAAATAGCCAAGGATTGGGTGTTCATTAACTACACATTTAAGCGCTTTGAAGTACGAAATTTGGAATGAAGTTGCTATTTGAGCACTGCTACGTAGATATAATTTTTTAAATTTGATTCAATGATTTAATATCGAACTTTAATATTTGAAAATTGTATTTATTGAGTTTAATTAGACCAGTGTGCATAAATTAAATTAATTTTATTCATATACAATAATTATTTCCAACTAATATGTGTTAGTGTAGTGGACAGTTTGTGATGATTATTTCCAATTATATTGTAAGTCTTGTTTAAAAAATGTCTTTGAAAAGTATACATCGTCTAAAATGCAATAATAAGGATTCATAAGTATTAGGACTTTTTTTTTATTGGTTACCTTTCACTACATATTACATATGTATATGTAGAAAATTTTAATCTTTAGCTTTCAGATATAACCAAGTTATAAACATATTGCAAATAAGACTAGTTTCCTTTTCTTGTAAACTTATGAGAATGTATTATCTTGTATTTTAGATCACGATTTGCTCTCTTTTATCATAGATTATTTTTTGTTTTCGATACAAGCATATACATAATTATGATTCTAAATTCATTCATATGGGCTTAGTAAACAAAAACCTTCACAAATTAGTGCGCAATATTCATAATTGTTGAAGAATATTACTAACAGAAATATATTTGACTTTTCTATTAATAATTCTAAAAATATTAATATGTGTATTAACTGATAAAAGAATATGCTATGCACTGCATAATACTTAATATAAAATAATGTTTAATTTTCGCTTATTTGCTAGATGTTACGTATAAAAATGTTAAGAAATGGACTTATTGTCTGCGAAAAATTTTAAATTATTTTTGGTAATGCATAGAAATAAACGATAAAAATATGAAAACAAAAAGTAACGCAATATACGATTAATGTGAATTTGCAAAATACAAGCCTTAAAGTATTTTCTTTTAACTTTTCATCTTGACCTTAATGAATGAATTTTGTGAGGATCCTTTAATTATTCTTCTTCTTCGGGAATTATTGTCCGTCTTCGGATACTTTCTTCTTCTTGATAGTTGCTACCCAACCAGGGGCGCTATCCTGTATCAAATCCAATCAGGTCCTCCGAATTGTTCATGAACTGTTCCATTTCGTTAACTTAAAAGGTTAACTGAGTCGTCTTTATGCAATTTAGAGAAACATTTTCTCTGATCTCTATGTCACCGTCAATAAAAATCGTTTTAATTTACATACCAAAATTATGACTACTTTTGTTTGTTACGCTTTCACGTCGAAACCACATAATAGATCATCATCATGTACATATATTTCTATTGTTTTTAGAAAGGACTTAGGATTCTTATTATTAAAATATACATATACATACATACATTTGTAGTTGGACAAAAATACCTCTGCACACACTCCCTGCAGGATTCTTCGTGTTGTTGTTGTTGTTAGTTGGCAGTGATAGTTTCTATCTAATTTATTTTAAGTCAAAACAATACAAAACATTGTTAAACAGTTAAGCTACCAACGCGTAGATTTTCTAAAGTTTTACTGGTTTTTACAATTGGTAACGGTTTGCTTGACACCGAAAGAGAGAAGAGTATACAATCCGTACAAACATAGTACATTCAGGAAAGTGTGTGTACAATCCACATGTCCTCCGATATTTAATGAGTACAATACAATTAAAATACCTTAATTTTAACCCTTCAAAGCCTGATAACTCTGATTCATTCAAAATTTTGATATCTATTATAATTGTCAGTTACAAACAACATTTGTTCTAAAATTTGTCTAAAAAATCAGTCATTTAGATTTTACAGGGTGTTTTGAGTGGCTTATCCTTTGAAGGCAACCAAATGATCATAAGAGAAATACATTTTAAGGACACATTTTTACAAAAAAACCTTTTTTTTTTTTGAAATTTCATTAAAATTATTATTAAACTGATAAAAGATACATTAGTTTGTATGGAAATCCAGAAAACAATTTTGCTGTGACGATAAACAAAGAGCTATACCACATTTTATGCAATAAATTTGCGTACGTGATGAATAATTAGGATCTTGATTTTCCATCATTTATAACTTAGCAAAATGTCCAATATGATCTAACCTTATATCACGCGGCAGTACCGAGGCGCGGTTAGGATGAGATCGTTTCGCAGAAATCTTATTTTCAATGTTACTTCCGGCTCATTTTCTTTGTAACGTGCTTACACTTCTCATCAAGACTTCGTCAACGTCGCATATGAATTCGTGGGATTTGTTTGCGCTGTTACGGAATAATGGCGTTTATATAGGATCCACGAATTAATCATTGTCATATCAAGCATATGATATAAATATTAATTGGCTGGTCCATTTTGCAGGAACTGATGCGCATATGGCTTCGTCCTAATGCTGAATCCATAAGATCCACACCGTCCATGTACCTGTTATATTCGTGTATAACATTGGATTTTTTCGACGCACTGTGAGTTTCTTTTATTGAACCTCTCAACAGCTGGAGATTGTTCGAGCGTTGCTCCTACATTGTATTTGTATGGCTTGAGTCTTTCCAGGAGACTGTGGACTGTGGAAATATCAATCCCATAAAACGAAGCTACATACTCTTCTGCTTCACCTCGATTTTGTAGTTCCACTGGCAGTTTACAGCCAGGAATTCGGTTTCGTCGAACTCTTCCCAATACTTAAATTCCTTGAGTGCGTAAATCAGCCAACTAACTAGTGTATTAGTTGTCGAAAAAACTACAATAATTGACGAAACGTGACGCAATACGGCTCAAACGAACTACAACACTAGATGACGCCCTAAGTTCGGTTCATTTTCATGGATAGTCTTCGTTCCCCGAGTAAATTTCAAAATTGTAGCAAAAGCTTAAATCATCGCACATTAAGAACACTTTGTAACCCCAAGAGGCTTGTCTGGTATATACTGCTTTAAAAAAGGATTTTTTTGTTGAACAACCTTGGGAACCTTATCGACATTTTCGTTAAATGCTTCAATCAGTGGCCGTATTTTTAACAGACGATCAACTAAATTTGCTGGCAAGGATTCACGCGATAATTAAGTATTACGACAACGAGGCATTTCGTTATTGTTGTTGATGTGCAAAAATTGTCGAATCTTCTCATGGCGATTTCGTATCATAGCTGCAATGATAGGAGGACTGCCCTAATCACTCCAATACATACGCACTTTAGAATATTCGATTACTGACATGAAATGCAGTATATCTGCTGTATAGAATACAAATGGCTCTGTTTTACGATATTTAAAACAGTATAGTCTGATACAAAAATTGAAAAGAACTGATAGGGAGTGTGCAACGATATTATTTGTGGTGTAAGGTGGTCGCTGCCTCGAAACTGAATCCAACTATCTTTGAGTTGCATGTTGCAGCGCTTCTAAAGAGGGTTTTTAAACCCTATAGAATCTTTATCTGTTGTTGTGCGCGAGAAAAAGGTGGCATATTGTGGCCATCGAACTCGATCTTCTAAAACCACTGGACTGCCGTCATTATCAGTACTTGTAGGTAACATATTTTCATCACTAATATTGTTGTGATCGGATATTTCACATTCAGGGTCTTCTTCAATGAAATTTTTACTATCTGATTCTGTTGATAACTTTGAACTTTTGAAGATTTTCCTGACTGTTATACCGAAGACCTCTCTGTAAATTCCGTATTGGTAAAGACAAATTATGAGTTTTTACACTTTTACTGACCACTTTATTATAATTTTGTGTATGGAAGTAACAAAACCTACTTCTCTGATGAGCACCTGATGGTTCCTGAATTGTAACGATAAATTTTCCAAATCAATCACAAAAGTTATTTGAAAATGCAATATTTTCCTTGAAATTATTTTTTCGATGCACTCTTACTCAAGTCAGGCCGCCAGTCGTTTAAGGGTTAAATTCGAATAAAAATAGATGATAATAAATAAAATTATTGATATAATAATGTCGGTCGAGTCGGTTGACGGCTCGACGGCTGGTGTCATGTATCCTCTCACGGTTCTCGGTCGGTTGACGAAACATGAAAAACATTTACAAAGTGGGGTTCCAACAAGTCGTAAACTACTTAAATGTGTATGTTAAACGGTTTTATTTGATTTTTAGGCTGGTAGCTAGTATGTAGTGCATTCACCAGAAGTGGGGAAAGAACTTGCGAAAATTAATACTCGGTATTGTCAATTGCGAATTTGTAAAATTCTTTTCGATGCAAGTGTCAAAATTTGGCGTACGTTTATTTCATTCGCGAGTTGAATTCAAGTAAGAACAAGAAAAAACGTTAACTTCGGTTGCACCGAAGCTAATATACCCGTCACAGGTGCATTTCTTTTAGTAACTATGTGTTAAGTAAATCTAAAGACGTAACCGGCCAGTGGTTTTCATCCAAAGGAACACATTTTCCTATTGTTTTTAGCCATGTATAACATTAAGGTTATTTAATAAAGAAAATAGATCTTTTAGATGTTTATAGTTATTTAAGATTTTAAAAAGATTTATTATTAACATAAACTTAATGGAAATGAAATTATCATATTTATACGAGTATATTATTACATATGTTTGTTTTATAAAAACACAGAGTAGAGGATCATTATTTCTATGAACAATAGTTTATACCAAATTTCGAGAATATTTCGTCAAATGAGAAAGTTTCCCATGCAAGCATTTGATTTCGATCTGAACAATTTTTTCGGAGATCATATTATTACCTTAAGCAATAATCCATTTCGTGAAATGCAAAAGTTTTCCATACCAGCGCCAGATTCCGAGGAGGAATCTTTAGGAGAAAATGACGTTTGCAAAATTTCAAATCGATATCTAAAAAACTGAGGGACTAGTTCATATATATACAGACCGACAGACAGACAGACATGTCTAAATCGACTTAGCTCAACATACTGATCATTTAAATATATATTTTATACGGTCTCCCACGCTTCCTTCTGGGTGTTACAAACTTCGTGGCAAACTTAATATACCCCGGTTCGGTTGAACTGAACATTTTATACCCTTGCAACTTGCAAGAATCAAATAGAATTTAAATTTGTGTTATATGGGAAGTCGGTGTGTTTGTTGTCCGACCAAGTTTAATCGATCGGGTACTGAAAATTAATTTCGGTATAAATGTGATATGTGCTGATAGGGGAACTTCTCCGGAGGAGGAATGCCAAAATAATGTTGCTAACGCTTATATTTTTTAAAATATTCACGATTAAAAATTAAAAAGTTTGCTGGTCAATGTTTAACTAAGTTTTTTCACATTTTTCACTTTGTATATTGAAATATACGCTTTGAACATTGAAATAAGTGCACATTTGTCTTTTATTTTGTTATTTTTTAGTTAAATTTATTAAATTAAAAACTACTTACTGCAGGTTAGAATGTTTACAATTATGAGAAAAACCAGCCTTGCCACAACTAAAAAACCAAATACGAAGGCTTTTCAATAACAGCGTTTCACTTGTTTGTACTTTCGGGTGATAAAAAATTCTTTCCAATTTTTTTCAAGCTATAATTTAGCTGTGAACACTTTTTTCATATAGTATATGAATAATATGTGATTTATATTTAATAAACACAGATAAGTAAAACTCTATGATAATATTATAAAATTATAATATTACAAGTTTATATTATAATAAAATCATGTAGCTCTAAAAAAAAATAACTCTTCTCGAGCCAATACCCGGGATTATGAACTTGAGAGGCACCCAATTTGCACAGAACTTTCGTCTCTTTAGAACATTCCTGTCCTCGGTGCTCATTTCGCCAGTTTCCAGCTTAGCAAATATCTTTTCAAAAGTGCATTTCCCTGAGCCCAAATTCAACAGTATTTTCCCCCAAAAAGCAATGCTTTATTAACACGCGAAATGCTTTATGATCCATTTTTTTGTTAACTAACATAAGTAGCTTCACAAAAATACTATATCTCATTAACTAATAGTTATAATCCAACTAATAGAAATTATACAGATGGCAGTAGTAGTATTATCTATGTATCATCCACAGTAAATCTTGGGCGGGCCCTCTATTATTATAATAAAATTATCTTACATTCTATTTTATTTATTATTTATTTTCCTTATTTAATAAAGAATTTTTTTTTATTTCTCGTTTTTTTTTACGCTGAAGGGCTTGTCGCAGTTGATCCTCTGGCGATCCCTTGTTAATCCCGGTTGGAATGGACTCTAAAATAATTCAAAAATATTTGATATTAACAGTTTTTATTAATAAGTTCCGTTAAATTAGTAATTAAATAGTTCCGTTCTTACCAATAAGGCCTTTTAAGCGAATCTTTGCCCAAAACCCCATCAATATAGTACTCGTACTACATCGCCTATTCGTCAGTTAATATACAAGTGCGTTCCGAAGTAAAAAAATGTTTTTATCGACAATATCAATTTATTTTATTCAAAATAGGATATTTCTGCTTCGATACAGCATTTTGCACAGTCCGATATGGCCACCAGTAAGCCGGTGCAGGCCTTTTGAATGGCCCTTATGTCAGTATATCGCTTTACTTTCATGGCCAAATGCATTTTTACGAAAAAGAAGAAGTCACACGGTGCCATATCAGGTGAATACGAGTTCTGGTAATGGGTAAAATGTGATTTTTGGTCAAATAATCGTCCTTCGAATGTTGGATTCTGAGTAATTTTTGGTCGTCAGTAAATTTGTGCGGAACAAACCGTGTACGCACCTTTCGTAAGCCCAAATATTCGGTCGAAATGTGATAAATCGATGTTTTGGAGATGTCCAATTCCATTTTCATGAATTTCAATGATTATTTCGGCTGATTTTTGATGAATTTACGCACAGTTTCGATGGAATTTCCACATGTTAATCGTGATTTATGTCCTCACGACCACTTTGAAAACGTTGAAACCACTCGTGCACTCTGCTACGGGTTAGGTAATCATCAATTGAAACGTTTCGGTAAACGTTTTACTAATTTTAAAACAAAATTTAATATTGTCTCTTTGTTCAAAACTCATTGCATCGAGAACACAAACATACTGACACTTAAAACGCAATAACTTCCAATCTATGAATGAATGACAATCGATAAAGATAGCAGATTCAAACGCACCAGTCGACATATAGATGGCCCCAAAAGGGGGCGCTAGATTTAAAAAGTTCCTGTTTACTTTAGACCTCACCTTATTAAACTTCCTTGCTTTTAATAGGGAATTTATGAATTTTCGCCGAGGAGTCGTTGATGAGAGTTATATTATTACATTCCTTCGTTAATTGCACCAAATAAAACACTTTATCTTCTTGAAGGTTACACCAATAATGATCTTTATTTTTAAATTAATTTAACATGAAGGTAAGTAAGTAAAAGAAATTTGATGAGTCAAGAAAAATACAGTAAAAATTAAAACAATAATAATTGTATAAAAGTTGGTAAACAGGAAGTAAGTATTAATTGGTACACAATTGTTGCAATGTTTTGTTCTGCTGACTTTAATATTTTAAAATTAAAGGGAAAAATTATTATTAGTAATTTATGAATATGAATACGATTTAGTTTGTAAGAAAATAATGTTTTATATTGCTGACTTAAACTATTTAAAATTCAAATGAAAATTTTATTAAGTGTGTCAATAAAAAATAATAAAGTACAATAAGAAAATAAATTTAATGATTTGTTGTTGTTGTTTTATTGGTAAAAACTAAATGATTTATTGTTGTTTTTTTGTTGGTATCTTCTGGAAATAAGGTAAATGATTTGTTGGTGTTGTTTTATTGGTGTCTTCTGGGTTTTGGTGGGGGTTGATGTGACGATATAACTTGCGCTCTCTTAGAAGCTGCTGTATTAGCACTTTCTGCTGTGCTACTTCTTCTAGCAGAACTTGGTACTGTACCGAAATTTGACTCATTTTTCTTTATAGCAGTTCTAGTAATAAAAAAAAAAATAAAGTAAAACACGAGTATACTCGTTAATAGCTTACCTTCAAAGAAAGCCTTAAAATCTTCTTTATCTTTGCATTTACATACCTTCTCGGTAGATACCTCTCTGTAGTAATTCTTTTTAAAATTTTTGGGCTCGGACCATCCAAATTGCCTTCTCTAAATTATTATTTTTTATTTCCTTATTGAACTTTATTTATATTTAACAAAAATATTTTCGCATCTAGTAAAAATTTAGCATTGGTATTAAAATACAATTGCTAAAGCCTTACTTTTAAAATCTGACAAAGAAAATTTTGTAATATCAGCTCCAAAATCTTCTAAATCTATAACATATATCCCAAGGAACTAGAAACAAACGGCATCTCATAGAAACTGTGTGTTTTGACATATGTATTTTCTACCTATCGGTGAATCATCGGTTATTTCATAAATTACTACTGGTAAATTGCTTTTCATACAACAAAAATTATCTGATTGGGAGCTAGTGAGGACAGATCCCTTGAAAAAGCATTTATTACCTTTAACATAAGTGTCGGAATGGCCAGGCGATTAAAAAGGGACACTCATAAATCTTTGATGTAGTTGCTCTAGTCGGGTCCCCTACACAAGTGCAGAAGACCGTGAACGTTATAAGGAACACTGTTTTCACCAAACAAAATGGGGAAGTTTTCTACAAAGTCATTGAGCATGAATTGGGCAGTGTCTAAGTTTGAATCTCGTTGCTTTGGCCAACAAATACTCCCATAGGAGCAGTGCAATAGAATTAAGATGTAATAAATATCTTCATGTACCTCACCATTCAGAACTATGACGCCAGTATATAGTAAAAACTGCCTAAATTCTATTGCTTTCCAATGCAACAAATCTTCCAGTGGTCTTGGTTTTCGAACAAACTCTTTTGGAATGTGGTAGCTAATAGAAACTAATTTTTATAAATGTTTTTTTTTTCTTTATTTAGATGGGAAAGTTTATTGTTAAATCTATGAGATGCATAAAATTCAAAGGAAGCTGGCTGACCATTGAAATTTTCCGGCCTACCTGTGTAAATTTAGTTCACCATATCGAGGAATGAGACGGAGTTCCACTATTATAAGCTCGTGCGGTTGCATTGCAAGCTATAGCCCTAACATCCGTTTTAATTGTATTTTTTTTTTTTTATTGAAAGACATGCTCCTCACAGCTTTTGGGTTTTGACTTGCCAACAAAAACACCAACGGGAAAACTGGCCTTCCCTGAATATTATTTATAAGAATTAGAATTTTAAAATTGGCCGTAACTGAATTCTTGAACTTTGAAAAAGCGGTAAACCGTCTATTAATATTAATGATCAAGGTGTCGTCTAACTGAACTAATTTGCCTATATTATTTAATTGCCATTCTAACCCGACATGCAAATATTCGCCACCAGCAATAGTTGAATTATTTGGCTTGGACGGACAATCGAACTTATAAAGGGAACTCATTCCTGCACAATGACATTTCTACTTCGAAGAATTTTTATCAAGTAAATTGCACATGCGCGTGAAACTCTTTGTTTTAATTCTTCATTAAAATTTAAACTCACTACACAATCTTCTTCAAAAGAATTTAAATTTTCCTATAATTCCATTTCCTGTATTTGTTGTTTTTTGAAATTATGTGTGTTGAAATAAAATGAAAGTTGAATTTATCATTTCCTTTTTTTTCAATGTAATGTTACTTGATAAATGTGGCGGGAGCACGCCACGAATATCTGACCGTGGGAAAAACATACATACATAGCACTTCCAAACTTGGCAAACCAAATTGTGTCCTGTTGATCGTCACCTCAAATGCAATTTTCACTGGAAGCGGAATACGTTTGAACTGAAATGGCAAATCATTGGAACTCAAAGGAATTCGTAGAATCAAGCATTCTGTCAACTTGTATTCGATAGGTGCGTCACAATCAATCGAATTCCATTACACAGTTTCGGTGCCTGAAGATTGCGAAACATAATAATGACAGATCCAACTTTGAAACGCAAATGATGCGGTGGCATTCTAAGCCTCTACAAATAACTTAGAAATTCCACTGGATAATACACGGCGTGGTCTTTATTGTCAAGACGGTCGATCGATTTGTATGAGTGTAAGTCTCCCGGAATTTGACTTTGAATCTTCCAGTTTAAGTCAACAACATCGGTAGCTACGATAATTTGGCCAATGTCCGGATAAACATTCGTGATGAGTTCATCAAACCACCGGAGGTACCAATCGGATTTGACCCATTTCCAATTTGTAACGAGGACGATGTAAAATGTCTTTGGGAATGTTATTTTTGTTCGCTGGCTTACTTCTCCAAAACGTGCACACAAACAAAACTTCACAATGACTCAAATGAAGTTGAACCTCGAACATTAATCGAAGGTAGCAACCATCGTCATTTTACGAGTGGATTGTATAAATTCGTCCTAAGGAATTAGTTGAGAACACACCTGGATGTCAATCTACTGGTTTGCCTTCCTTTCTGCGTAACTATTTCTTCGACGATGCATTCAATGTATGCCAAGATATTTCCAAATAGAGCAACGTCCTCGCAAACAGATCAATGGCGAAAGTTGAGAAAAAATTCGTAAATATTATTTTTGTTGCTAGCGGTGTTTTCATTGGCTGTACTGTATTCTCTGAGTTGAAATATACTCTTTCGTCATTCTCCAAATTAACTGCGAGACGCACAACGGTCGGAAAACGTTCATGAATTGCAAAATTAAATATCCCACAAAGCGTTTTATTGCAGTTCACGTATCGACCATTTGATACTTGCTGATATCCTCTCGTTCAAGACCAGTAACCGCCATATTGCTTTCTTTAGTGACTACTTACAAACGTATTTTATCGATTACACCAAACTGCAATACTCAACATTAGTATGAGTTTTGAACGTGAATTAGTGGTGAATATAGTACGATCCATGAGTTGTCAACTTCGATATTCATTCTTCTAAATTAAATTCTGCCATTGTGGTCTGGTGAGCTACGCCGATAGAGTGGATATCCATCATTTCCAGTTTGTGGATAGTGTTTCGTAAATTTATTGTCAGCCATACAAACCGAAAACTAATTGTAATGTTCGAAAGGTCCATGAATCATATTGGTTTTCACCACTTCGAATAATACTGGATTTTTCTCTACATCAGGAATTTCCGCAGAAATTATTTCATCAATTTGATCTGGTGTAACCACCATTCAAAGAAGAATGTGAAATAGTATGTATGTAAAGTTTTCAGTGAATAATTTAATAATTTTTCTTTTGAATAGCCGGAATAAAAAAGCAAGCGATCGAAATTGAACGATTCAAATAATTCACAAATCAAAATATTGAAAAAAACAAAAATTAAAAAAAAATGTGTATGGAAAAGGGTTACTTTTTGGAACTAACCAATTTTCCGACTTTTCCTCATGAAAAGATAAGTATTTTATTTTTAAACCTTCCCCGGTCCACAACGAATAACCTATGAAAATTTCATCAAGATTGGTGCAGCCGTTCTCTTAGCGTTACTAACAAAGAACCATTCATTCGTTTGTATGGGAAAAAGAAAAGGGCTGTTTTTAGGGGTTTCCCGGAAATTATTCGAAATTTTGTTGCCGTAAAAAGCATCCTTGAACCTCAACGGCCACATT